TTTTTATGAGGATGGCTGCGTTATTGACGCATTTCGGAGGCAGTGGTGCACTGATCCGATACGAGGCGCACGAATGTGGCTCGGAATATGAAAATTAACCTGTTTGGATTAGGGCTCTATTAGAATTCTAGACTACTAAACATTTCTGGTAAAATTCCGATTTTTCGGCGTGTATCGATTGCTGAACTTCCTTTGTTGGAACAATCCTTGTCGAGAGGAAAACTTATTATTAAATTATTTATTTATAATGGTCGCATGAACAGCAAGGTCATTAGCGACCACGGTATAACACATAGTTACAAATTAATTACAAATTAATCGCACATATACAATAGTTAAACTTTGTTATATAAGTCTACACTTTTTAAAAATGAAAGAGTCGCAGTGATATTTCTAAGACTGTTAAGACAGTCATCGAGATCTGTCGGAAGTTTGAAATCTAGTCGTTTAGATTGGAACATTGGGCAGTCAAGTAATACATGTTCGATAGATAATTTAACATTACAGGAATTACAGATCGTAGGTGGATTTTTAGTAATTTCGTAGACATGGGTCATATTTGTGTGGCCGATTCTAAGTCGCGTAATAACAACCTGATCCTTCCTGCCGGTAATATCAGGGCATTTGTTATTAAAGACATCTTTTCTTATTTTAAATAATTTGAATGGTGGTGAGCTGACCCAATATTCATTCCAACAATTTTCAATTCTTATTTTCAGTTCCCTGATTAGGTCGTTGTGGGAGATGTCGAGAGGAAAACTTGGTGAATACAAATTTTGAAAGTTGCACGCTGCGGTCTTTAGAATGAATTCGCGTTGGTAGTAAAGGAAGACTAGATTTGGCAACGGATTATGTCTGAGTTAGGTTTGTAGACTTGCAAGGGAGGTTTGACGATTGATACACCTCGAAGGATTAGAATTTTTTAGGAAATAAAGTCGATGGGAAGCTAATCACTGGACTGCGGATCTTTTTGCAAAATAAAATTTTCGCGAACGTCCCTACAAAAATTGAACCTAAATAGGAATTTATTTTATTCTGCAAATATTATAACATGAACTTTACATTCAATCTTTTTTATATTCTTGCATATTGTTTGCATTTCGTAGTTTCTTGCATATTCGAATTTCCTATAAATGCATAAAGATCCGCAGTCTACTAATCACAATGCCCATTTATATTTTGGCATTAAAACGATTTTAAGGGTGGAGACACCCCTTCGAAAGAATTCTGATTATGTACGTACATTCTTACTAATATCTCTGTAACCATAAGAAATTTTAAGTGTGGGAAATATTATTAAAAATAGATATTTTTTAGATTCTTTGTTATGGTATTATAGAATGTTAAAAACTATTAAATTTCGTTTTAACATTTTTTCGATATTTCTCACACTTTAAATCTTTCCACCACCTGCTGTATAAAAATTGTGTTCGCAATTTTATGGACGTTTTCATACTGTACGACTTTTATCTAACCAATTTTGTTTTCTCTGTTATCAAATTGGATTTACTGGGGAATATATATAGATACGTATCCTGTACTGTGTGCCTGATTTCGGTCATAACTTTCTATTAAAATTTGAAAAAATCATAACTCTCGATTGGGCAAACGGATTTCAATGATCCAAACGGAAAACTCCGCGTCTTTTAATGGAGATTTTTTTTTAAATATCAAACTATCGAAAGAGTCTATTTTTTAGAATATTTTGGTGAAAAAAAATATAAAAAGTTGACTAATCTTCAAAAATTTGTAGCCCTCTTAATAACGAATATTTCGGATTGAAACTTTTTTTCGTTGTAGATCTCATGGAACCCTACATAAAATATATAGAAAGTTTTTCTCTCAAGTATATACCCGATTTTTGCAAGAATTCGCAAGGGTTTGAGTGAGATCACAGATTGACAAAAATTTGATTTGAATATCAAGTGACGAATGTAATGTAAAATGACTTGTTCGTCATCTATTATTCAATTAAACAGTTACATTTTCATTTATCCATCGTGATATATGTAATTTTATAATTCAAACTCTAATTGTTATTCTACGAATAATAAATTAAGAGTTATTTACCATTTTCTCGCTATTTAAAATTTTTATCTAGATGAAAATTATACTTTTCAAGGGGAAGAATTGTCTAATGCAAAACATTGATATTAATCATACCTCAACAATTTCTTCATTAGTGAAGATAAACACCATCTAGTAGTGAATGTATAAAAAACTAGCGCGTAATGAAAAGTATAAACAAATTTATTTTAGAAAAAAATCAAATGTATTCTAAACGCTACTTTTCTAAAAGTAGATCTCAAACGATCCAAAAACTCATGTGTAAAATGTGCATAATGTAATTTGTGAAAGATATGGAAAAGTGAAATAAAAACAGAAAATGCATTATGTTCAAAATATGATTGAGAATATGAACATAAATACGTTCTTTAGTAATTAGAAATATAATTTAGGTTGTTTTTTGTTTCTTACTCGTGAAATCATCAATCATTATTATGAAATGTTGAGTTTTTCACAAAGAAATACATTGAAATAATTAGAGTGATTCAAAACATTTGAACTAGTTTTAACCAAAGTTTTTAATTATTCGAAGGAGAACTTTTGTCTATGGAACTTTTACAAAAAAAAAATAGTAAATAAGATCAAATTTAAATCATTTAAAATAATATTACTGAAATATTTTAAGTAGTTAAATAATTAAAATAAAAATTTGACATTTTTAGAGCTTGTTCCTATTACTATACGTAGTAACCCTATCAAATTTCAAATCGTTTCATCAATTTCTACAGTAGTTATAAAAAAAAAAAGTAACCGATCGAACAAATTATAATTATAACTTTTAAAGGTTTGGGACACGTGTTAATATTAAAATTAAGAGCTCAAATTTTACCGAAATTTTGTTTATGTATCTCCAAGGTAACATAGATTTCAAAAATCATTGAAACAAGGATCACCCTAATCTAATCTTACTCACTAATAAATAGACTGTGGATGCAAGTTCATATTTTAATATACACAGACGAAGAACAGAAACTTAAGTCAAAGTATGTTTTGTCTTCTAAACGTTGCAACGCGCATTTTATATTTTATATTTTATATTTTATATACATCTGCATTCGCACACATCCTTCTACAATATTTTTCTACATTTGCACTCGTGAATATGGTACATAATATGGTCCATGATATATCCGCAGTCTACTAATAAAAGAAAAGAAACTTTTTGGTTAGCCTGACGCTTTCCACTATAATATAGTGGGTGTAGAAAGTATTCGTACACCGATCAATTTCCAAAAAAACTATGTAAAATTGTAATTTATTAACTTAATTTTTATAAACAATGACATTCTACATATTCTCGGAAATCTCTAGAATAGATAGATTACGAAAGAAATAGCTATTTATGTAAGTTGCGAAATTAACAAGAAAAAAACAATTAATCGATAGAAATGTTGAAGCAATAAGTATTCGCACTATTGTTTAATTTTCAAAACTTTGTTAAAAAAAGAGAAATTTACACTAATTCACAAGTACATAATACTTCCTTCGTAGGATTTCCTTTTGATTTTGTTATTATTGTAACTCTTCTAAGCATTAAATTAACTAAATTATTAGTTAGAAGTTAATAAGAAGTGGGATCTTCTTCCATTCCTCTATTAGAGCCATTTTTAAAAGTACTTTACTGGAAATTTGATGTTTTCTAATTCGTACAGAGCAATAAACTAATGTGTTTACGTTACAAATTACTGTAAATCGTTCGCCATAAGAATCGTACAAATACTTATTGCTTCTATACTTTTACCCACTTTTCGAATACCCACTTTACCCATTTTTCTGTTTATTTCACAAATTATATTAACTAGTAAATGTTGTTTGGACCATATTTTTCTTAGAGATTTCCGAGAATATGTAAAGTATCATTATTATAAAGTATGATTATAAAAAAAAAAGAAGTTAAAAAACTACAATTTCACACAAAAGTTTTATGGGAAATTGATTGGTGTACGAATACATTCTACACCGACTATAATATGTTCTACTTACCGAAGAAACAAGTCCGGAACAATTAACGTGTGAGACCGTCGATGCTGCGACTCGGCAAGACACCGCGACACTGACCGCGGACCCCTTCGGTCCACACAACTCCCACGACGAGAACCCACCACAAAGTCAAAAGTACCTCGAAACTCGTGTCTGTCAAACCCATTCCCGCGTCACTGGCAGACCACAGAACGCTGCTTTTGTCTACGCGTGAAAAATGATCCCTCGTCGGTGGCGACAGTTCGAAACTCGTCCCGAAAAGGATCGCGCGACCCGCGAAACTTGGCCGCGTTGTCTTTTCTCTCTTAGTTTATGAACATCGTCGAAAATGAATCATCCTTGGACACCGCGAACCTGCTTGCGAGGTGGCTGTACTTTACGCGCGCATTTTCAGATCCTTGTGGATCGCTGATCCAAGGTGAACTGCCGACGCACATCGGCAGCACACAATGATTGCGTGATTAATCGCACAGCAGTGACGGTGGCGGACCATCGAGGAAAATCGAGCGTGCGAATTCGAAAAGAGAACCGCGTCGCAAAGGTTCGAAAGAGTGAGTGGTGAACCTCGCCAGCGCCAGGACGTATATACGCGGTAAGGTCACGTGATGGTGCGAGGGAGCTTAACGCCGAAGCGCGGACCAATCGTGTGCGCGGGATTTTCCCGACCGGCGAAAAGACGCGCGCATCCTTCGCGAGCGTTGTGCAAAAACTTGGCGATTGTTTACTATGTCGACAATGTCGACGATGTTATCGCGTTACTTGTGAACTAATCAGGTATACAAAAAATACCCGTAGTTTAAGGGGGGAGGGTCAAGTAAACAACCGCTTTTTCGCGAATTATTTTTGAAGAGTGCGTAATATATATTTATTTACAACTAATCACTTGTTATTTTGTAGCATCTAGATAATCTATATAATTTTTTTTTAAGTAAAAATATTCATAAATGAATGAATATTTATGAATATTAATACAAATAGTCAAGTACAAATAGTCCTTCGTGTACCGTTCGGAGTGCATCACTTTAATGACTCTGTAGGTACACTTAAACTTCGAAGTTTTAGCTAAAATGGTCGGAGCACATTCTCCAAATGATAAACTAATTTTCTAAACAAAAATAAAGGTCTAAATTTTGAATTTCACTTGACCCTCCCCCCTTAAACTCTTCGATAGTAGGAGGGGGAAAGGAGTGGGGATAGTTGTGTGGAGATTGCAGAAGAAAAATCATTTTTGAAAAGTGATCAACTCGAAAACGAGTCCGGCAGCAAAATGTAAAGGGTTTTATCGATTTCATCGATTTCAAGTCGAACATACGTGAAATAGTACAATTTTGCGATAAAAAGTGCAATAAAGTGGTAAAAAATGGAAGTAGGTCAAATGTCTTTTTAAGCTTTTAAGAGGCAACGAAGCCCTTACCAGATGCAAGAAGATTCAATCCGATTGGTCAATTCCTTTCAGAATAAGAAGCAATACAAAATTTTTCGGTTTTTTGCAAAACAAAAAACGGGTAAAAAATGAGAAATCCCAAAATTTTTTGATAATGAGACCACCCCGAAGGCATGCTCTCTACAAGATGCAACAGGTTTCATTCCGATTGGTCAAGCCACCTCGGCGTAATCGAGTAACATACCTTAAAAAAAAAAATAAATATACATGTCAAATTAAGTAACCTCCTTTTCGAAGTCGATTAAAAATAAATTTGTACGATATTGGTCTTTGTGTGGATAATAGATGATTATGAACGACATTTAAGTAGATATGATAACTAAATAGTCATTTGTTATAAAGATCATTTTGAAAATGTAATGAAATATTGAGGAAATGGAACGTTGGATGTTAATACTAAACCTACTGTTCATTTGTATTTATTTCTACTATGCCGGAACAAATGATATCAATACTTAGATAAAGTATGTTAAAAAGACCTCATTTTCATTGTTCTTTTTCATCCCTAAGCCGCAATATTGTTACAATTAATTTAAAAAAGCAAATAAAATATGATTATTATTAACAGCACGAATGTAAATGCATAGTATTAGTCGATCGATCGATAACCAAAGTCAATGAAACAACTTTTCATTTTCCGGTCGATAAACGGAAGTAATGTAGAGACACTGCCACCGTCTGTGGGTAAATAATGTGTCATCACTAAACTTACCGACATTTCACTTATGCCTCATGTACAAATATCAATGATTCTCTACTCTTGCATTAAAAAATAAAAATGTGACATTCTTCTTACGGTAATATATTATCGATTAACTAATGGAACTAGGTTTACTGGCTTACAACTATGGTATACAGCCTTGTTTCCTTATTGCTAGTCATCCTTATCGTATGTATCTACAACTAACGTCCATTTGAACTATTGCAGATTCCTTATTTTGGATTTAACTCTCTTACTCACTATTACTATCGATAAATTTATATAAAAAATATTTCATTATACGTCCTATATTCTAGTTATACATTTGTACTCTAAATTGCGCACTCTGATTTCCATACTTAATCTGTAGTTTTGTGATTGCATGTTAGTCAGTCTTTCTTAGGAACTCTATAAAAATACCGGCTCATTACTTGAGCTATATAAATCACTTCTAATGGAACTATTTTTAAACATATGTTTACGCCATCTACGACAAAAAAACCTATTGTAAGTTTGTGGCGAAATAATCTTGACGCTAGATAACGCCACCAACTTAATCCAGTCCAATCACACCGTTGGTAACAAGTCTAAATATTTAAAGTTTGTGATAAATATTTTAAAAGATGCTCAAATACTGTTATAGTTTTGATTGCTACTTTAAATAATATATCGTATAAATTTAGACTTAACATTACTTAACATAGACTTAACCTAATTTGCGTCTAAATCTAAGGTATAAAGTCTAAATCTTTTCAGCACATTACTATACGTATACGTAGAAAACTTTCATACACCGGAAGTCTGACGAATCTCGATCACTCGACATCGACTAAAAAAATTAAATACGTACTATACTCCTATACTTGTGCATTATTTTTGACATGTATATGTATCGATAAAGAGTACTTGTGTTTTGTGTCTGAAATAATCGTTTGTTTACGGCTGTAAATGATTAGAGTAGTCGACGTGTGTCGCGTGTTACTTCCGGTTGCGCAAGTCATTAGTTTCGTCGCCATCATAGCGACGAGATCGCGACCGTTTTTGGCCGCAGAGCCGGAAATCAGGTAATTGTCGTTTTACGACAAAAGGCGAGGCAGAGCTTTTTGCTCTGTTACACAGGAATCCGTGGTCACCGTAGCACCGTCACATCGGCCGTCGATTATCGGCATCTCGAGGACTCGTTCTTCACCTTTGACGCAAACGAAACATGGCTTATTGAAGAAGATGAAGGGTCTGCAAAAATACACTGTTTCTCCATACGGAGGAGACCACAGCCTCAATCACGCTGGAAATCAGCACGAGCACATTCGTGCCGGAAATGGAAAAGAACGCGAAATTTACGCAGTTCTCCACAAAGGGGGTTCCTGCTGATGCGAAGAAGAATCAAGGTGCGTCGTTGTCCGAATGTCGATCGCTTCAATAGCGACGTCATCTTTTTGCTGACGTCTTATGTGCGTATCACATTGCAAAAACACACAATTTTACTTGCTACGGTTTAAGAAATTTTCATGTTCTATCCTTTCTTCTCTTTTTTCAGTTTTAACGAACTTGTTAATTATATATTTCTTTAAGTTCTTTGAAAGGACCTTCTAATAGTGGCTCCAATAATAATAATATGTGTAATATTAATTGAGGCTCCCAAGTGCAAGCCTTGTTTTTTGGGTGGAATGATATTTCACCAGCATTGCAGCTAGTTTCTTCAGAAATCATATAAAAAAAGTTCTTATCATGGTTCAATGATTATCAATCATACAGCTTATAAAATGGCTGTCTGGTCATTAATACATAACATGTGGCAATACCAGTTTGTTATTTGACATACTCTAAATGTTTCTGATCTTTTATTTGGATACTTCTCAGTAAATTTTCAAATTAATTAATATTTACAGAAAATTTAAGATCAACCCATGATGTGACAGTAATTTGTAGAGCCTGCAATGAGCCAAATTTTTTTGTTTATATTAGATAGACGATTTATTTTTTATAAAATATCCATTGTTTCATCCAGACCTAAATTTTATTATCAATTTTTAGATGCTACTAATAAGCTCTTCCCGAGAACTTCGCGCCGTCGCGAACCAACTGCCTCTGGTAGTTTCTCGAAATACGAACAACCAAAGAAGTGCAATGTACAGAAAGCCAAAAGTTTTGATAAGAGACCAAAACCTAAAGGACAATATCATGGCGGTGCAAAGGAGGATACCAAGGTTAATACTTATATTCAATTACTCTACCACACTAATAACACTAATTCTTTAATGTATTTAATAATATGTTTATTCTTTGGTTGATATTTTAATTAAACATTTTAATTTGCTTTAGGTAGAGCAAGCAGAATTAGCTGAGCCTGGCTCAGTAGTGGCCCAAGGAAGCAAAAAGCAGAATTTGAATCATCTGCTGAATTTTCATTATGAACCACGCGAGATGCAAGGTGGTTCAGGTGCATGGAGACATGGGAAACTAACAAAGGGTTACTCCTACAACAGTAATAGGTGGCTTCCACCAGTACAGCGACACAAGTACAACAAAGAACAGTTTTTACAAGCCAGGTGTGAAATAATATTATAGTTCAGTCTATCTAAAGATAAACTGTTTGTTACATACTAACTGTTACTGTTCTTTTAGCTGCCAATTTGTTGTAACTGCCAATGGAAATTATTCATTATATCTAATTGATCCTGATGCTTTAGTTGATTGGAAATTGGTAGAACAAATTGTAAGTCATAAATGTGATTGCTAAAATTTAAGAAATTAATGAGCATATTAAATTTCAGAAAATCCATAGTTCTGAAAGTTTGTCTTGCCCAATTTGTTTGTGTTCACCAGTTGCTGGAAAAATGACACGTTGCGGTCATGTTTATTGTTGGCCTTGTATCCTTCATTATTTATCACTCTCTGATAAATCCTGGCGCAAATGTCCCATTTGTTATGAAACCATTCAGAAATATGATTTGAGAAGGTAATATTAATAATCCTCTTAATATATAAAGAAATACATCTTACACGATGAAAAAATATAAAATTTTGGTTATTTTTAGTGTCACCGTAATCACGCAAACCGCGTTAAATTCTGGTGATAATGTCACCTTACGATTAATGCGTCGCGAAAAAGGATCACTACTCGCAGTGCCTGTTGGGTCTGTAACGGAAATCCCAACAAACTTTTTTCCAGCTTCAGAAACTATTAGCAGTCATGTGTATTCAAAACTTTTAATTGCAAGCACAGATGATGTAAGTCTACAAATTTCCAAAAAATAAAATGCGTAGCTTTAAAAGCATTCCTTTAAGAAGACTCTGATCAGTATTTTTCTAATAAATGCATTAATTCAGGTTATGAATATCATTGAATGCGAACGCGTTCAGTTGAAATTAGAACTAGCAGATAATCCTGATTCACCAGCAAACTGTTATATCGAACAAGCGCTTAATGAACTTTCAATAAGAGAAGAAGAACTGTTACAAGGGGTAACGTTGATTTACTCATGTGAAGCGTATTTCTTAACTCTTAATTTAAAGCAATTGTGATGATTTTCCTTTGTAGATAAAATCAAAATCAGAAGTTTCTGTAGATGCGACTACAATACGGGAAGAGAGCAGTGACACTGAAAAACAACAAGAATTTCAAGATTCCGTAGAAACCAACAATATTTCAATCGAAAAAGATATGAAAAGTGCGGATGAAGAATCTTCCAAAATGATAGAAAATTCTCCCAATAGCGCTCAATCAACTTCGGGCGTACAGAAATTCTTTTACTTTTATCAAGGTACTTGTATATTGATATGTCTTTGCTTTTATTTGTCTCATTTTGTTAAAAAAAAATGTTAATTTTTAGCGGACGATGGACAAGATTTATATCTCCATGCAGTAAATGTAAAGATGCTGGAAATGCAGTACGGCAGTCTTGAAAATTCTCCCCACATGATAACAGGAAAACTTTTAGAGAAAGAAGGAGGAAGTCTTACAGAAGACCTAAGACGCAGGTTAAGATATCTATGTCATTTGCCCATCACTTGCCAGTTTGAAGTAGCCGAGATCGAATTAAAACCACCGATAATATCAGAAGAAGTTCTTTCTTCGTTTCAAGGTAATAATTTTCTTTATCATGAAATTATTTTGGAATCGGTTATCAGAAGTAATCGTTATTAACTTATTCACATTTATATTTTGTCTAACGCTGTTACAGAGCAATTAGCATTGAGGCATAGACGCAGGCAACAGCGAGAACGCGAGGAAAGAAAGAGGGAGAAAAAGATCAATGATGAAGAAAACAAACGAATGGGAAGATACCCCAAGCCTATTGTACACATCGATTCGCAGCGACATTTTCCTCAATGGCAGCCAGAAGTATTGTTCGCAGAGTACGTAAATTTTTTATTCCAGTTTATTTACGTATATTTTCTAAATTTAGTGATTGAACACTATAATTTAAAATAAATAATATCTTTTCCAGAGAAAACGTTTCATCACCGCCAGAATCAACTGTGACTTCAAGCGTAGCCAGCAGTCCATCGTTCAGCACATTTGATGAAATCGCTACGGGTGGACAAACCGACAATACCGCTCACGATCAGGGACCATCGTTCGCGGAGATGTTACGAAACAAGGGCACACGTTTAAAATCCCAATCTGTGTGGCCGTCTGTTAATTCTACTCACGGGAAATCGTATTCGAACATGCCTGCTCAGTCGTCTTCAAGAGACACTGACGAAGAGAATTACATTTCAGCGCCATCCTACAGTCAAAGCTTCGGTGATGCCTTGGCAGCGGCTTTAGAACAAACAAAATTGCTTGGTATGTCTAATGTATTTATAACTAGAGTACAAACGTTTGCGACAACTTATAGTTCGCTTGTGAGATGTATATATAAAATATATATATATCACAACATCGATTATTTCACTTTTGCCTATTCTTTTAGGGGCAAAGAAAGATGGAGGTGGGAAAAAGAGGAAGAAAAGGAAACCAACCCTATTGTTCGCAACGTCTATGGCACATCCATCTTAATTTTCTGTTTTACTAATCCTTGCACTCTACACTTTTATTCCGACGTTTCGCGATTCAGGTGTTTTGTCACTTACTGATTTCAGATTATTTTGGGTATGCGTTAGAAAATTATCAAACAATTGTTTTCTGTAGCAGCCTGTTGTGCTTACCAATAAAATTTCATTTCATCGAAAGCATTCTAATTATTTGCAATTTCAGAATATACATGTACAAAAAAATGAATTTACTGTCAGAAATTAATTTTTAGTTATTAAGAATAAATCGTGTTATGTTTTGCAAATGTAGAGTAACTAATTTAATGGGTGTTTAGCAATTGTAGAAATTTCAATGTGAGCAATGAAAATAGTAATTTTGTGTGAATTAAAAAGAGAACGTTAATTGTTTTAGATTACAGTTCAGTTATTGACATTGCTAAAATGAATGATCTTTCTGTATTCCGATTAGAACACATGACAATATACTAGATTATAGGGGGAAAAATGAAACAATCATATATAAGTTCCAGTGAACTCATTGAATTCACTTGTTTGTTTTTGTATTTTCACGAAGTTTCCCCAGAACATAGAAAATCAACAACAAATCTTTTAAAAGTTGGTTAAAAACCATTAAAGATTCATTAGATGCACCCTAATTAGAGCAGCATCCAATTTAGTCGACTTCCTCAATGGTGGGACCACCGGATGCACCGCCACTTGGTGTTCCACCTGGAGCAGCACCGCCTGCTCCTGGGAATCCACCTGGCATACCTCCAGGAGCGCTACCCATTCCTTGATACAGTTTCGTGACGATCGGGTTGCAGATAGCCTCCAACTCCTTTTGCTTGTGTTCGTACTCTTCTGAGTCGGCCAATTGGTTGGCATCGAGCCACTTGATGATGTCATTGCATTTATCTAGTACTACTTGCTTGTCACTGGCACTGATCTTGTCCTTCAGTTTCTCGTCTTCCACCGTACTCTTCATGTTAAAGCAGTAAGACTCAAGACCGTTCTTAGCAGCAATGGTTTCCTTTTGTTTTTCATCTTCGCTGCGGTACTTCTCAGCTTCGTTGACCATTCTTTCAATCTCCTCCTTACTAAGGCGACCCTTGTCGTTGGTAATGGTGATCTTGTTTTCCTTGCCAGTGGATTTGTCCACAGCAGTTACGTTGAGGATACCATTGGCATCAATGTCGAAGGTGACTTCGATTTGAGGAACGCCTCGAGGAGCTGGTGGTATTCCACTGAGTTCAAATTTACCCAGCAAATTGTTGTCCTTTGTCATCGCACGCTCTCCCTCGTAGACTTGGATCAATACGCCAGGTTGATTATCAGCGTAAGTGGTGAAGGTTTGAGTTTGCTTTGTTGGAATGGTAGTATTTCTCTTGATAAGAGCGGTCATAACACCACCGGCAGTTTCGATACCAAGAGACAGAGGTGTGACATCAAGGAGTAGCAGGTCTTGTACTTTCCCGGACTTATCACCATGCAGAATGGCAGCTTGCACAGCAGCTCCATAAGCTACAGCTTCATCGGGGTTGATAGACTTGTTCAACTCCTTTCCATTAAAGAAATCTTGCAATAGCTTTTGGATCTTGGGAATACGGGTTGATCCACCAACTAGGACGATATCGTTGATGTGATACTTGTCCATCTTCGCATCGCGCAACGATTTCTCTACTGGCTCAAGCGTTCCTCTAAAGAGATCAGCACAAAGCTCTTCGAAACGAGCTCTGGTAATTGAAGTGTAGAAATCGATTCCCTCATAGAGCGAGTCGATTTCTATGCTAGCTTGAGTGGACGACGAGAGTGTACGCTTCGCACGCTCGCAAGCTGTTCTGAGACGACGAAGGGAACGCTTATTCGAGGTCAAATCTTTCTTGTATTTACGCTTGAACTCCTGAACGAAGTGAGTGACCATACGGTTGTCGAAGTCTTCACCGCCAAGGTGAGTGTCTCCCGCAGTAGACTTCACCTCAAAGATACCATCTTCAATGGTCAAAATAGACACATCGAAGGTTCCACCACCTAGATCGAAAATCAGGACATTGCGCTCATTCATGGCTTTCTTATCTAAACCATAAGCGATGGCGGCAGCGGTGGGCTCGTTGATGATACGTAAAACGTTCAAGCCCGAGATGGTACCAGCGTCCTTGGTTGCCTGACGCTGCGAGTCGTTGAAGTAAGCAGGTACAGTGATCACGGCATTGCTGACGGTTTGTCCAAGGTATGCCTCAGCTGTTTCCTTCATCTTCACCAGGACCATTGAACTCACTTCTTCAGGGAAGAAAGTCTTCGTCTCTCCTTTGTATTGTACTTGAATTTTGGGTTTGCCACAGTCACTCACAACAGCGAAGGGCCAGTGTTTCATATCGGCTTGAACAGTTGCGTCTTCGAAGCGACGTCCAATCAGGCGTTTGGCATCTGAAAAATTTGAATGATAAGAATTATTGTAATGTGATTTATTACAAATTTTAGTTCATATAATTTAGCTCAAATGAGTAATGAGATTTCATCGTGTGGAGAAATAAAGGATGGTTGATGTTACAAACAAAAATTTGTAATGCCATTGTTGATCGTGCGATCTCACGGGGGGGGGGGGGGGGGGGGGCGAAGGTAGGTCAGAAATATCAGTATTCGAAAACCGACCGTTGGAGAATGGAACAATCTCTTCCGTGGGAATGGGAAAACAAGCCTCTGACAAAGGTATAGCATACAGTGTGATATATTTGTTTAAATATCACGAGCAACAAGTATTATTTTCATTAGTAAACTATGTAATGTTTCAGTCTCAAGGTTATGTGACCCTCAGAAAGAAAAGCTTATTACAGAGCATCTTAACATTAACGAAATAATTTAATAGTGAAAATAGTACTTTATTATTTGAATATTTTGTAGCATTAATCCCGTTTTCAATTGTCAAAAACTGTCATAATATATTTTTGGATTTTATTTTATAGAAATTTTTAAATGAAAACGTGTACGACACGATTATCCATTACTCGCGATGATCTAATGGAAAATTAGAAAGACTTCCTCTAGAAGCCATGACTCTAAGCGTATGATGCATACGCATGCGTCGTTAACGTATACATAATAACATATATAAGTATTGATTTTCCAGTTTCTACCACGCCGTACATTTTCCACGCCTCTTTACAAATTTAAACAAAATATTAGGTTAAATTTTACTTGGGGGATTTGGTAAATTTCGGCGAATAGAATCCAAAAATTCTATTTTTAAGGCGAAGAATCCTCCGGTTCAGAAGTTATGAGCAGTTAAAGGTGATCATTTTTACCGTATTTGTTTATACAAATTCTAACTCTAGAGCGAAGTCCCTCCCTCTGCACCCTCTCCCCGAAAATATACACCCAAACCAACTTCGTTAATTCGAAATATGGAAGTTTTCAAAAATAGCCACCTACGAGAATCTCTTTTACCGACAATATGACTGCAAGGCAATATCATAACTTTTGAACCAGTGGATTCCTTACCTTAGAACTAGCATTTTCAGATTCTAGTCGCCGAAATGTACAAGGTTAAGTAAAAGAAAGCTTAACAAGTTTTCGTCCCCCAAAGTAAAGTTCAGTCAAATATTATTTTAAAATAACACGATGAATACCAGTTGTTTGTGTGCAAGGTCATTCGTTAAATTTCGATAAAATTCAAATTTCATTAATACTAAAACTTATCGAAAACTGAATGTTAATTTATAGATGTTGACTGTAATTTTTCAGTTGACCACAAATTCGCAGTCATCGCTTTTTTTAAAATTCCAAGTATTCACGCGCATAATTTGCTTTGTAATTCATATGATATTTTTAACAATTTGACAATTTTTTTTATTTTTGACAATTTTACCCATTACTAATAAAAGGACCGACGCACAGTGCGTCGAACTGTGGACAAAAGTCAAAAAATAAAAATTTTTTTTTTTCTTTGATTTGATTATTTAGACTTGTTTTGTAAGTAGAATTAATTTTAGTCTGAAGTTATCTTTCAACAGAATAGGTACTTCTTTAAAAAAAAATTAGTACTTTTTTTTTTATAATGATTCTGAATTTTCGTGGTAAGTTAGCCCTATAATACTAATACTTAAAACTACTTTATAGCAGTTTTATAAAGTTTTAATAATATATGTAAAATGAACGATTTGCACTAGTTAACATTTTAGTTTTGCAGTTTCCTTTGTTTAACTTAAGAACTACTTTTTTCGAAAAGGCTGAAACGGTCTCTTCCCGGCTTGGCTTAAAAAATTTATTAGGTAGTCTACTTTGAGATAGTGAAAGAAATTCCTGCCCCAATCTGCCCCCTTTGTAGAACCGAATGATTGAATCACCGAGTGACAATCTCGATTCCGACGATTCGGCCTAAACTATTTTATGTGTAGATATTATTTAAAATTAAATTTTAAATAAAATCTTTTTAAAATTAATTAATTAATTAATAATTGTTTAACAAAGATTTTTGTAAAATATTATGTAATAAACATTTTCTTCATTGTTTCAACATACTTATTTACTTTTTTTTTAACCTTTTTTATCGAGTAGAATATTTTTGAATACTGATTTGATTTTTGTCCTTATTTCTCATATACTCGTCGCACTGTGCGACGATGAGATCACTCGAGACACGAGTTTATCCCTCATAGGAGAATATTAAGAAAATATAATTGCTTCCGGTACCGACCAGAAAAGTGCGACAATTAAACACAAATGATATAAGAAAAAAAGTATTCTGAGAAACGTCTGAAAAATGAATATTTCTATTCACAAAACAGGGCATGGCGTGGAGTTTCTTCAAAATGATTAACGATTACGTGACTAAATATATACATATATATGTATTTACCGAAGATTGTGTTGTTGGGGTTCATGGCGACCTGGTTTTTAGCGGCATCGCCAATCAACCGTTCGCTCTCCGTGAATGCAACATAGCTAGGCGTTGTACGATTTCCTTGGTCGTTGGCGATGATTTCTACCTTTCCGTGCTGGAAAACGCCAACGCACGAGTACGTGGTGCCAAGATCAATACCGACTGCAGGTGCTTTGGCCATCTTTGCTTTTTCTGAAAACACAAACGAAAAATAAATGAAATTCTCGCAACGACGTCTAAAAATTTCAAATGAAATCGGTTACGATTATATGTCGAATGTAACGCTAGCAACGAATGCACACCTTTTCTTTATTCGCTTTGTTCGTTAATGAAAACTCGTCCTGTAGGACAGAGAAGAAGTTCCTCGTGTACGATTCGCAACGTGAGTGAAGAACCCGCACCAGGGCACGGTATATATGACTTTCCCAGAGGACGCTTCTGGAATGTTCCTTACGCCCAAACACCTATGCGCACCAATCCCGAGTCAGATTTTACCACCTTTGGACAGCTATTGGCCGTTCGCGACCAACTACGTACATCAATGGTGAAATTTCATACGGATTATTGACCGACCAAAACTAACTTTATCTGTCGTAAACATATCGAAATTTCGTTCGATTTGTTCAAATGAAAATTGTGATACATTTTCATTAGTATTTCTTGGGAAATCGGCTGCCCACGAATAATTGCACAGAATCATTTCCGCCTGGAACGGCAGACGATGCGGAAGTAGAATGCGAGAGAAGCATCTAGTATATGGTAGCTAATTCGAGAAGAAACCATACTGGGCCACATACACAAGCGCACGTGTAGTTATGTTCATAGATGGCTATAAATTGATTTCATTCAGAGATGAGTAGAATTTCACTCGAGCAATATTCGATATCATTAAAATCATTACAAATTTACTGTAAATATCGAGCAAGCAATACTACAAAATGTCCCGTTAATGTTAATGAATCACAATGCTGTATCATTGCGGACATTGTAACGAGTTTTTTTTAATCTATATGAGTTTCTACGGAAGCACGATAAACTTATTACATTTTTACACTTGCAGTTATGAGATTGTTTATCACTGATATTATATAATTCGTTCCATGATATGCACTCTGCAGACATTCAGCGCTAATAGTCATGTAATAATTAATAATCATTATAAACTGTATTAATACGTATTTCATTTTTGTATTGTTTATTTTTTTCTATCTGGCGTCATGTTCTTATCGGTTAAAGTATGAATTCTGTACTTGATAAATTACGCGAAAATTTTGCACAGGGGAAATGCATCCAATGCGGCAAAGCACAGTGGATGTAATCGATGGCGATAAGCATTGCGGTAACGTTTGCAAAAGTTCCAACGAAAGTTTCAGTGCATTATAGTACAGTCCAGACTACAGGGACGACTCTAGCATGAAGGTAATGGTATCCCAAGTGCCCTTTACTTTTCGTTTAACTAAAACATTTCTTGCATTTCTGAAAAATGATTTAGTTTGTGTAAATAACATCTTACTTTCGTTCTAATTTTATTTCAAAAATAATATTTGCCCATTTATTGCTAATAATGTATGTCCATTTGAAACAGAATTTTTCAAACAGTTCGAAATTCTTACAGAGGTTTTTCTTGAAAATTGTGTGTGAGCATTTTTTTCTTACCTCGTACTGTTTTTATAATTCTTAAAACTTACAGTTGCTGCTTTCTTACATTTTTAACATATTTCCCTTTTATATTTTTTAGATTTAAATATCTAAACTTTAGAGTGGTAAATATGTCTTGATAATAATAATATTTGCTTCGTGTACAATGTTTCATAAAAGGAAAGGTGTCCTCGAAATAGTTGGCTTCAGGCCCCAATAAGTCTGAATCCATTACTGTTTACTACAATCCAGCTACATTCGTTCAATACACTAGCTTATGGGTTAATACTCGTTCAACAATGAGTCACTTTATTAAAGTCACTTTCGTGACAGTATACGTATGTCTTACCCAAGTATCATTTGTGCATTATGAAGGGTCTACGTGTATACACACGCGATCGATACAAATTTTCTCTAAAGTATAAATCTTTCATGAGTTATGTTAGTCATTCGTTTCGTGAAATTTAAATAAAGGTCACTGTTATGTACAAATATAGTGTGATCAAGTTTGCTACCTTGATCGGAAAAATGTCAAAGGTTTTCTTTCCTCTGTGATTTTTAAGCAAAATATTAACTTACGTTTAAACAAGAAACTAAATATTTGTTCTTTGTTCTCTATTACTATACAAATACATGATCAAATAATCCCAGTAAAATATAGTATTACATATTTCACATATTCGAACACAATTTTATTTTTCTCTATTTCTTGTCACCTTCACGAATAAATAACCTTCTCGTCATTGGAAAATAGGACTGATTGCAAAGCTGCTATGCAATGTAGTATCTCATTAATTAGATACTGTAATAAGCTGTAATAAGTTAAACACATAATAGAAAAAAAGCAATTCAAACGACACTTCACTTATTAAATTCGAATTTTTCTTCCATTGTAAAGATAAAACTAAAGTAGAAAACTTATTTGCTCTACACAAGATCACTTGAAATATCTCCTCCAGTAATGTACTTGAGTATACTCTATTAGTACATAATAGTGATTATTTTCTTGAACATCTCGAGGTAACTAACCTATGAAAAGAATTCACGTGATAATACTTCATATCAATTTAATATTACTTCATATCATTATAATTTTGAAAATTGTTGTTAAATAAAATTTTGAAAATATATGCTGTCAGTAATTTTTTCGTACGTGTATTTATGCTAAACGTTTTATTTGCCATCAGCGAGAGATTTGACTGTATTAAAGACATATAAATATCGTCTAAAAGTAACCAAATTTTTTATAAAAAAAAGGCACATTCGTTCAAGTATCGACTGCTGTTCACAAATGAATGTGTTGATGCCAAAGCGTCAGCATGAGATTTGCTTACGCAGATGTGTTTAGGATAGTGGTTCTCAAACGTTTTGATATCTATTGTTCTTTATACTCCTAAAAATGTATACAGAGCCTGAACTTGGTTTTATTTACATTAGTTCTACCTACTAAGTCAGTGCTCTGACGCCCCGTTCCATGTAGACATTCTATACACAATTCTAGCTTAAATAATACATATTGAAAACGAATAAAACTGACATTTTTCACTATAAAGTAACGTGTATTAAATGAGGTATACTAACATTTTGCTACGTAACAGTACTATAACAGTATATACAATTGATATAAAAATTTAAGTCAACCACTGTACTGTTGAAGTTGAGCAATTTAATTTTCATTGCTTGACAATAATTTGATGTTTCTATGGAGAGCTACGTTTAAATATAATAATCGTGATTCTTTATTCATTTTTTGAAATGTTTTTCTTCTGCGACGTATCATTTGTTTTCACGTAAGGTCGACCCTGTCCGTCTACTAATACGAAATGAAATGTACTTGTATACATTGTACGCATTTTCAAAGAATCACCTTTTATGTCATGGTCATTGTGTTTGTAAGGTTTCCAATTGGTAAGGGAAGGAAGCGATAGTGGCAGCTGTTCGCGTCAATGGTAAATGCTCCCCTGAAGTCAAAGTATGCTTCTCATTTGTATTCAAGCTACTATAAGTAAAGCACGTCTTTACGATGCCAGTCTATCGATAAAAAAACTGTACAGTTTATCGCTATCTATGAACAAACTGCGCAATGAAATTTTTCAAATAAACTATTTATTTCAATGTGTTCTTTATTAATTTTATGCAACTTCATTAAAATTATTAACAATGAATAATTCCTGACTCGAAAATGAAGTAGTAACTAAGAAGTTTCTTATTTTTCAGTTTCATTTGATTATTAATAATAGGTTCCATTTTGTAACCTTTAAGTAAATTTGTTTTGGCTCAAATTTGTGTTTATTAAATATAATGTGTAGATAGGTTTAATATAAATATATCTGTGTTAAGATTTATTCAATATAGCACATGGGTAAGGAAAATATAACAATGTAAACTTAAATGGTACGATTATTCTTTATTAGTTCTCTATCACTTGCAATACTGTATATCAAATATTTCAAGATGGAACTAACAATATAAATTCATTAAATACTAAGACTGTAAGATTATTAATTAAAAGCTAATTGTTAAATATATAACTGTCAGGCTCACTTTCATCACATGCGTATAAATTATACTTACAGACTTCCTTTGCATGATATACAAACACATATATACATCGTTTTATTAATTTGTATGTACATTAGCTAAAACCTTGCTTTTAAATAATTCAATTAGTTTCTCCTGGAAAACACTGTCATTCCTCTTAGTTATTCATTTACATAACTATTTACACAACTTTGTTTAGTAAATTTGCTTTAAGTATAACCCTTTGCTCAAATGTTGTATCTGATAATTTATATGCTTTTGGCTCATTAATTATAGTTGAAAATGAAAATAAACGCTCAACTGGTGCTGATGATGGTAATGGAGTGTTGTACTGTATAAATATATTTTTAATTGCAGGGAATGAATTTAGCATACTATATTCTTCCGTTTTGTCCGTAAAATATTGCAAAGCTAATAATTCCGTGTTAGTTGTAGAAAGTAAGTCTTGATCATTACGCGTTGGTGACAAAGTTCTAAAATCGAAGAAATGATGAAATTTGTTATATGTTTGGTTTTTAGGAGCATCAGAGGTTGGTGTGTCTATTTCTATTTGTGAAGAAAGAGCTTTTTTAAATAAAGATAGTAGTCGTTCGTGTTTCTCAGTTTCAACGCATGACAACCATTTATTTTTAAACTTCGGATGCGAAAATGCAGCAATTACTGCTTTCTCTGCTTCGGGTGTACGGAAATTTAAATAGTTTTCAAATCTAATTTCTATGCTATTGCAAAGCGTTTGAATTAGTGGTTTGCAATAAATCCACTTCTGTTCATTCAGGCGCTGCAATTTTCGTTGCAAAGAAAGCAAACAAGGGATGACCATACCATAAAATACGTCCTCTTCCCCTTGTAAGATATCTAATGCTTGTGCGATCGGTTCCGTACAAGAAATGTGTTCTTCGATGTACAGAAATTCCGTATCAGTTAAAACGCACTCCATGCCCAGGAGTTTAAATAAGTTATAAGTTTTTTCTTTTATTCGAGCGATTTGTATCAAAGAATCGTACAAAGAATTCCATCTTGTATCTTTTGGTTTGTTTAATGTATGACCTAATACACTTTCTATTATTTCTGCTGACTTCGGCCGAGACGTTGCATCCCATAATAAAGTGCATTTATGTATTACGTTATTATGCACAGCGTTTAATTCTTCTGAGTTTTTTATAGTACGAATAGCATCAGTTGTTATGCAAAGGGAAAGCATATGGGCAAAGCAACGGATATGTCGGGGCAGTGTACTGAATACTCTATCGTTAATATAAAATTCTGCTACTTCATTTTCATTGTTAAATACCACATGGTGGCTATCGCTATCTGTACTATCGTACTCATCGTCATATTCAGATTTGATTTCTACTCCGAATACTTTGAAAGCTTTTAAAAAATTACTTTCATTGTCCGTTACCGTGGCCGTTAGCTTTGGAAAACTTAAACCGAAATCCGCATGAATTTCTTCGAGACGTTCGGCAATTTTATCGTGAGTATGAGAACCTAAATATGAAATAATTATTTCGTTTAGTTCGGTATAAATATACATATACTGTACCATCACATTTAATAATTATATAATTACCAGCAAAACGTCTGCAAGCTAAAGCTACGGATTTCCTTTCCAGAGTTTCTGGTTCAATCCAATGTGCTGTTACTCCCAAAAAGCTTCTATTTTTCGCCGTCCATATGTCAGCAGTCGTACAAACGAATTGTAATTTTTGTAAGGTCTCTTTTATTTTTAAAATATTTTCGGTAAAAAGTTCTCGTATATGGCAGCTTAGTTCTCTCCTAGTCATAATACTCGTTCCATAATCTGTAATGTAAAAACAACCATGATTTTAATATCGGTTCTATACATATAACTGTTTCATATCTGTTCAAGTTTATAAAATGTACACATTCATCCGAAATTTAATAAAGAATTGCGAGGTTTACAAATTTATGCAAAAATTGCAAATTTACGAAAGTACTCTATTCAAATCTAAAATTTTTGTTTAAATGTATGTAAAATATTTATAAAAAATTTCTAAAGATTATTAATCTTTTACGCACTTTTGTTTTTTATCATAAATTAATAAAAATGTTTGAAAATATATTCTTTCAATTTATATTTTATATTAAATTCATTTATTAATTTAGGCGTGAAAAATATATATATATACGTTTCTAACAAAATGGAATGATGAAACCGAAAAATAATTTATAGGATGTATAATATTGATTCTTTATAATTTATTGTTTGAAACAATTACATCTGGATGAGTTTTAAATCCTGAACAAAAGTAAGTGAAACATTACTAAATTTTCGTATCAATTATGGCGCGAGTTTATATTCGGTATTCGACGAATAGGGAATAACGAATAACGGAAGCACTCTTCCAACATGTTGCTTCGTAAACGGATGCTCTCTTCTAACAGATCTATCATGTTGTCAAAGAAGAGAGCATGCTGAATGGCATTCGTCGAATGTGTGACCGTGCCATAACATGCAAGTGTGAAACATACCTGATATATTGAGGTTTTCAAACATTTTCAGAAAATATGGATCTTCAACAGTTCGAAGCGGCGCCATAGAGTGAAGAATGTAACTTATTATATCCTTGTTCAAGTTTTCTTGTGTTATTTGTTGCCATTGATAATACGTGTTGCACGATCCTGAAGTTTCGCCTAGTCTCTTACTACTATTTTTAATTTTTTTTATTCTCATATGTTTACTATATTCATTCAGTACTTCGTCACCGTGGCGTCTCTTGAGATGGGATCGAAAGTTGGAAGTTGAATTTAGTTGACCTTTTATCTCAACATTTCTCGGCTGACATTTAATGCAAGCAGCTACGACAGTTTTGTCGGAACATTTTTCCGGGATGATTTGGAAAAATGTACCATCCAAAATCGAAAGGACATTCGTGCCGGACGAAGGTCCGATCACTGATCCCGTGTTTGAGACTGTTTGGTAATTGTTATCTTCTAAAGTGATCAATTTTTCGTCAACATCGCAGTGCATTTCCGTTTTGATGTCACAATGTTCCATTGTCGACCAAGTGAATGTATAGATGTGTGGATATATTGTGGAGCAATATGTCTATATATATTTAAAGAAAACTGAACTCTAATAAGAAAAAACTCTAATTTCGATAACACTTGAAAAACTCTCGCTCTGTGTTATATGATTCCCTACGATTCTTTACTTCCGACTGCATAATTTTCTGTTCGTGTCTGATTCTAGTTCGACCTATCGCACAGCAGCTTCAAGCTACACACAATCCATACACTCGCGTCAAGCATTTTTCCACGCCTTAAAATTCATGTATTTTCTTCGAATCCATTTCAATATCTCGTAAACCAATACCTTAGCCAGAAGTACCTCGATTCACTAATCGAATGTTTGTTCCAAACACTACTTATTTACATTCAGCCATGTGGCCACGCACAGAGTCTCTTGTACCTACAATATACAGGACGTTTAAAAAATACAGGACTAGCCGAAACATGCAAGTGACACCGTGCGAAGAGAAATCGAAAAGTCCTTTACCACTTTGAAATCAAATATTTGGTTTTCGGGATATAAGCAATTAAAGTTTACTCCTTCCCAATCAGAAATAGGCAGAATTTTATTCGAGCGATGTATGACGAATAAAAACTGTGCAGCGATTTATTCGCAACGTTTATTCAATTAAACAGTGATTTAGGTGAGCTTTCATTTCGTTCAACGTGAAACAAAATGTGAATATATCATTCAAGTCGGAATTTTTATTATATAACCAATGGATATAAATTGAAATTTTCTATCTCGATGAGAATTTTAGCAGTGAAATCATCGAAATGTTTTTTTGTTAGCAGGATCGAATTCAGGCATAAAATTTAGTTTAGAGATTACAGGCCAGGTGGCTCCACCAACTGAAGCCAAAGACGAGGAAGAAAAGTACAACTTTATTCGTATAGTAGACGACGAATAAAAGCACCATATAAAATGTTATTTGTAACGTTCGTTCTATTCAACAGCTGTTACATCAATAAGAAATATAATTTCATATCATAACTCTTTCTATTTTTACTTTCAAAAATGATTTTTGTTGGAATATTAAATAATTGCAGTTTTAATTTTCTGTAACATCCCTAAACTGTTTACATTCCACACTCAAATATAATGTTGTATTCATTATCATTTTGACTACATCACGACATTCTTTCCTACTAAACTACTTTATAATGAATGTGAATAGATCTGTCATTAATATGTAAATAAATGGAAACCTTTTTTCTGAATTGATATTCATTTCTCATGTAATATCATTATCTTGTGTTAGAAAGATATTGTTAAAGTAAGATTTGTACAAAACAAAATTTAAATAACATTAAAGGATACAGATTGGTCTCATACCATATTTACTAATGTTAGCATGTGGCTTATGCTAGATCAACCGATTTACTTTTTAATTAAATAAACTATAATTGAATTCATACTGAATGCTGTAAAAAGAAATTTTCGCAGCTAATCAGAGTACATATAATACAATGTATCATTGTGTACTTGCACTAAAAGTAGTTTCACATGTTCACTGTCCACCTAACCTGACACGTTTACTGACCACGTAATCCTAACGTGGCTACCGTCACGTATGATTAAAAGCGCGTGATTCGTGCTCAGAGAGTGATGATATTTGTTGACAAAACAAGCAACGTGATATCTTAATTTTATTTAAACAACAAGGAATATTTAACTTGATCGAGTAACATGCGGATTTCTTCGCACGCGGTGTCGACGTGTCGTTAGCCTCTAATGTTTCTTTATTTTAATCGTAACCTCACTTGCCGGTCAGAAAAACTTCAAAAACAGAAAGTTATGATTACATTGCCAATCCGAGAAAGTTGAACTTAGCTCTATTATATAATAAGAAAAATGACCACGAGATGGGAAATATATTTATTGACAATATCAACATTATTGTTCGCACTGTGTGTACAAAGCTTTCAAAGTCTGGAAGTGATATATGCAATAAATGCTGGTGGAGAAGCGCACACTGACAGTTATGGAATTCGCTACGCTAAAGACCCATTACTGAGTAAAGTTGGAACTGCATCAGATTATGGAAAGCAGTTGATTATCGGACGAGTAAATGCCATCGATCAAATACTATACCAAACAGAGCGGTATCATCATAGTACCTTTGGATACGATATTCCTATCAGTGAAGATGGAGATTATGTTATGATATTAAAGTTCTGTGAAGTTTATTTTAATTCTCCCAATATGAAGGTAATTGCTTTATATAATGCAAAACTTTTTATGCTTCCTGTAGTACATTTTTATGTAGAAAAAAGATAAAACATTAATATTAATAGCATTCTAGACTGATGTATATGCTATAATTTATATAAGCCTCTGTGAATAAGAATAATCTATATTAGCATGTTCCGAGATATTAATACTTAAAACAATCGTATTTAATATACAGGATAAGAATATGGAGATAAAATTTTTCAATTGTTTTACATCTTGAAATTGTTTCAGGTGTTTGATGTGGTATTAAATGGAGACCATACTATCGTTACTGACTTAGATATCTTTGAAAGAGTTGGCCGTGGTATAGCACACGATGAATATATTCCATTTAAAATTCAAGGAGGGAAATTAATATACAACGACGAAGAGTCTGAAATCTTAGCTGGACAAATCCGAGTTGAATTTATAAAAGTACTTCAATTATTTCTCTTATTTATTTAATATATGTTGGTTTAATTATAGTTTAATTAATTCCAATTAATTAATTACAGGGTTACAGAGATAATCCAAAGATAAATGCTATTGCTGTTGTAAAAGGAAATATAGAAGGTATTGCATAAACTTCTTATATGTATAATTAAAAATTTCATTTAAATCTAAATTACGATAATTTTTAGATATACCGCAGTTAGGTCCGATTCCTCAGGAACCAGAGGAATATCAGAATATACAGGAAGACGAAGAAGAATCTACAGTTCGCAATCGGCACACGAGTGGTCCGAGAACTCCCGATCCCTATTCCATCGACGACTCTTCTGTAATGTTACCGGTTTTTGTAGCTATTGGGGCATTTATTCCGTTACTATTTTGCCTCTGTAAACTATAGGTGGTGAAATTTTCTGCACAGGAATGCCTTGTACTTAAGAATAATAGTGTTCTAATCAGCTTAGGTAAAATTAGTGCGTGAGGAGATACCTGCATCGATCGTGTATATAGAAACAACATTTTCTTTGTTTTAAGCTACGTTGTCACAAGTTATCAAAGCTATTTATTATTAATTTAATCGAATAGACATATCTGTGTATGTTTTTGTATGAGAAATACTTGAGATGAGGAATAAGATTCGAGATATAGAAAAGGTGATGATTTGTGCAATCACGATTTTTGTTGCCATTTTATGTGTTCACTCGTGAATTATTTAATATTTAGCATTTCGTTGGCAAGTAGCACAAAGGTTTGCACACGTGCCATTCGCCTTTTCTTTTGCGTCTCATCCGAAACTAAGTATTTTCAATACGCTACCGAATCGTTTACTAATTTTAAGAAAAGTATGGAATTCGTGTATTTATGGAGAATTGTACCGAGTTTTAAATGGTAAATATTTCTTTTTTGAGATATAATGTTGTACTAAAATGAACGATATAAAAAAAATCACGCGACAGTTAAAAACCGGAGTATTTTCTTTTGTTATGCGCACACGTAATGTTTTGATTGAACTTTGTTCCATCGCCTATGCTTAAACGTTTTTGGTATATTTTCGATCACTCTTGTGTGAAAAATGTTGTACCCTTTACACTCAATACATCGTATTCAGTTAGAAGTGGAAGAGAATCGAATAGTCCGTCAAATACCAAAGTGATTTTGATCATTTGCAAATCAGAACAAATAAAGCTGTTACTATTGTCTTATAGTGTCGTTTTCTTCTATCATCAGAAACTTTATATTAGAAAATTTTCTATCCAGATCAGACAGAAAAAAAATACTTCACAAACATCAATAACGGAACTTTTCGTTTACAAGTTGTAATCTATTTTTATAATTGTATATAATTAAAATATACTGGGAAATTTGCATAATCATGAAAATTGATTAGGTTTCTAAATGTTTATTATTATTTATATGAAAGAGGTTTTAAAGTTTTAAGTTGATGTCTGCATGTTCGTATTAATTACAGGCCCGCGAAAAATACGATTCGTAAGGATTCGTCAGGGGAAATTTTATAATTTTATCAAGTGCCTGCAGATAACGAAATCTGGAAGTGTGAAATGATACGTTGGACTATAAATATCCCCCGTGTGATAATGTGATGGATAAATTTATTGATTTTTTAAATCAATTGTTAGATTACACGGAATTTAATTAAATAAAATATTTGAGAGATTTTACCAAGTGTTTCTTAGAATTATAATTATAAAGCCTTCGACGTATTTAAAATTTAGAATTAATAAAATGTATTTTATTATATTTTATTATATTAAATATCTTTGTTTTATATTCATGTATCACATGTATTCAAGTTATCGAGAAAAATTACTAAAATAGTTAATATTATAATAACAAATCGTTACTTCGAGGGTCTTATTGCCAAGCTTTAGTTAGTTTAGGTATTATCTAACCTCCATTGACCCTAATGCAATTATTACCAGGCATTACCAATGCATTATTTTTATGTATGCAACAACGTTTACTATGATAATAGCAAATTATGCGTTAAGATATGCTATCTTATCTAAAATGACAATTTTTTTCTTTAAAACGTTCATATTATGCATTTTTTGGGGTTCGTACAATTATGACCTTGAGTATCATATCCGTGAAAAACGAAAATTGATCACTTGCAGCTATGGCATCGTTTATATCGAACAAAATTATTATTGTTTCAGTTTCATAGTTAAACATATGAGTTATTTGGGTGAAAAGATGAAGATCGTGAAGTTGAAGAAAGGCTGGGTCACTGCGTTATAATGTATAACGTGTACTTCGCAGTGAAAGCAGTGCGGCGAATGAACCTCTTTCCCTGTGAGCACGCTTCAGGATGCGGTTGATAATCGATCGGGTGATTTGCACCGACGAACAGAAGAAAGGACTTCCAACAAGTTCAATTGGTCGTCGAGCACTGCGAAAGGTATTACGTGAGCGCACATGTGTGTACACGTCGAGCGGCGGTGTTCTTAATGGGAATAAGCTCATTCATCCCATATGAAACGGAAGATCACGTGACCTCTGATCGTCTAGGTCTCTGATGTATGGTCATCACTGACAATTAGCTGTCAATTCAATGCCGTACTTGTGTCTCAGAAACCCCGAGCCCTAAGTCTCGAGTGGCAATCATCCCTCAAGAAGGACGAAACTATGTCTCTAACTGTATTATTTAATGTTGCCAACAATTTTTCCTCTCCCAGATACCATCGAGTACAACAAAAGAAATGTATTATGTAAGGGTGAGCCAATAGAATTGTAATGTATCAGGTGTTGAAATTGATTCTGTGCCTTTCTAAGATAAACTTACTATTTATTAAAAAAAAAAAAAGATTTATAGCAATTATATGATCGATCTTTCTTCAGGAAGCATATAGAACACACGTTTGTATTTACTGCGGTTATAAAGGAATCATGAATTAAATCACTCTTACAAGTATTCTTTAGAAAATGCTGATTTCATGTTGCTGGCAATCATTTCAATCGTGTTATTGTCAATTTATCGCGATTATGTCTGTTATATTGTGGATTGCCTTTTTATCTGGATCAAGATTGTTGGAGATGTTTTTATAGTTGCTCGTGACAATGCTCTTTATATATAAAATTCCGATACATTCAGATTCATCACTTTAATACTATTTTCTCTAATCTATATATAATTGAAAGAAGATAAATAAATGTAAGTATAAAAATAGGTTGATAGGTTTTAATATATTTCATGACATTCTATACTCTATACCAACACTTTACAAGTCGGTAGCCTTGGAACATTTTATCGACTGATCTCCTATTAATCGGTTTTTCGTTATGGCAAATAATACTTTGTTGTCTATTTCTGAGATAGCATTGTAAAGCTCCAATTGTTATATCAATTATGGTGTATTATAAAAGGATAAAATAAATATTGTGTCAAAATGAAAAGTATTATCGAACTTGTACGTCTAATCGCTATCGATCGGTAAAGTGTTAATTGGATTTGTGATTGGAATTAACACAATTTAACATCAAAGATATAAAAATACAGAATATAAAATTATACGTCGAATGTTGATTTAGTCATTTACAAATCCTGATGGAGGTGTGATATTGGATTGTCTATAACGATGAATTTGCTTTAAGTTAAGGTATTGGTCGTTGACACGAAACATTATATAAATATTAATTTGGAAACGAGTCTAAAAGATGAAATAAATATTATGTAATGCTAATGTTGTAAAAATAAAAAATATTCTTAAATTTACTTGTTTGTCCAACAAGGCTAGTTTTGCACGAGGAGGAATGCTACACACTCCATAAATAAATCCTGCAGCGAGCCAATAAATAGTTGGAGCAAGTAAGTAGAATATGGCGCGGTGAACGCAGATTACATGCGACGATTAAGTGCGCGCGTCGATTTGAATTCATACACATACGCACCAATACTCGCCCCTCCTCTTCGTTTTATTAAAATCACAGACGGGCAGCAACAAGCCAACCAGAATAAAATACAACGAGGTCCTAACGGGATTTTCTTACGAAAAACAATATCGCATTTTTATCTTATAAGAGTGCAGTTGCGCAAATTAGAGGTTACGTGACGATAACGCCAAACGTGATCTTGATAATCGATCGAAAACAATCCTTGAAACACTGATTAATTTCTGCAATTTATTGAGATACAATTCTATTGTTTCTTATATTTTTTTGTTTAAAGAATATCTTCTTGTCGCACTTTCAGGAAAACAAACTTTAATTTCTCGAGGGATGAATTTTAAATGGTTTTTCTTTTGTTTAAAGCAATCTTTATATGTAAATCGATTTTTATGTACGAATATCCTGTCTCGCTTTAATATTGTATATTTTTTTAACTTTAAATAAAAGTAAACGTACACATATATGTGCCAATATTCTTTAAAAAATGAAGGACTGTTTTAAAAACTTGGATTAGATATTTTGAAACTCTTACAATAAGACACAAATACATTTCTGTACTAATTTTTGCGAATAAATTTTAATGGATAAGAATATCATGGCTCTTTTTCTTTTGTATACCTGTGTCCTTATCTTTAATCTATAAATGTTTTCTTTTATCACAGTACCCTGATAATCGCGACGAAATCAAAACATCGAAAACGTTCGATGTAACAAACGCGTGTATTTACTTTGCACGATATAATACAAAATTTCCCGACGCCTATTTTCCTCGTTCAACTGCGAGTCAACAAATTACATCGAAATTCTTTTTCAATTCTTTATATTTACTTCATCTCTATTCATGGGCTCCCGTCAATCACAACTCGTTGGATAAATTTGCTAATGCACAACGTTAATTGTCCAGTTAAAGTAGTTAGTCAAATTAGCTGATCGACGAACTCTGCAAGATCGCCTCGCGACACGACAGTAAGTAAATACGGCTTTTCATGGAAGCCTTCGACCAACTAGCGAATGAAACGCAACTCGATCGTAAGTTGAATTTAAGGATCGTCGACCATTTTTTTCCTAAATTGCATTTAACTTCATGAAACCTAACTTCTTTTCCTTTAAATGGAAAAAGATCCACTAGCCGTGAGTCAACTAAAATCATATTTTTCGCACACACGCTTAAATACGCATATCTTTTCATTCATAATTGCATGTTTTACACGCATCAGAGTTCGTTGCATACCTCATGTATGCTTCTCCACTAATTAATATCTATAACACAGCCAATCTACGCTATTTCCAATAAATATTCTGTAATTCCCTGAACTACCGTTATATTCCCCATTGCGATTTAGAATATCAACCTTCCAAAAAGTCAACTAAACATAGCTCGCATCCAGAGGAAAGCCTATTTTAAAAATCTTTCCAATCGATACCCCCCGCCCCGGCCCCCCCCCCCCTCTCTGCAATATTACAGCAATATTCTCGCAACGTATGGACGCAGACGTGAGAGTATTGGTGAAACGTGACGTCGCCGTCTGGTTGCCTGCTGGTTAACGATAATCCGTTCGACACTTTGTCCTGACCGATCGTAGATTGTATGCGTTCGTGTGAGCGTTCGTTCGCCGTATCTACGGTTACACGCACCCACGCACACGCACGCAATCGGACAAGTACCCCGGCGGTGATCTTATAAAAGGATCGGGTGCCGAGCAACCGGCATCTCACTGTTAGCAACAGCCACGTGAAACGTGTCGTAACGTTTATATATCTTGTGTATCTTGAACGCCGGTTCGAAAATGGTGCAAATCGTTGGAAAGTACGAATTCGTCTCGAACGAGAACTTCGAGGCGTTCGTGAACGCCATGGGGGAGAAGGAGATGGCGGCCCCGTTCTTACAAGGGAAACCCATAATCGAGATTTCGCAAAACGGCGACGAGTGGTCGGTGGTTATCAATTCCGAGGGAAGGACCAGCTCGACCACCTTCAAGCTGAACGAGACCTACGAGGAGAAGCTGCCATCCTTCAATCGCACGTTTCCGGTTAGTCTCGCAATTATTTACTATGGTAGAAGCTCATTTATACGAACAGATCCGGGGACAAGTTCGGGAGCAGTTTGGATAATATGTAGAGGTCCATTAGGTATTCTCTACATGAGCCCTCCGCCGTGGTTTAGGAGTTTAGGTATATATATTATAAAAGATATAAGGAGCTTAGAGGGTACTGAACTCAGCTATGGGGGGCTAGAGAGTACTAGACTCAGCTATGGGGGGCTACAGGGTAAATACTGGCTCAGCTATGGGGGTCT